TTAATAATAAAACTAAATTGTAACATTAAAACACTGTTATTTATTTACTTTATATTATTATTATTATTATATTTTATGTTAAATTATATTTTCTTTATAAAGTAACACTATGCAAGAATATTTATCAAGTATGTGTGACTAAAGTTGGGTAAACGTCGTTCGAATTCCGAGGGTTCCTGATGAATGGGCCAAAATGTGTGCCATGGGTACCACTGTTGGCACCCTTCCATCCGGCATCCCTTGCTCAGCTGATCGAAGGATCCGGTTGGGAAGTTCTCGACTGAACGGAGCTAGCAGCCAATCAGCATTCTCTGTCCTGCAGATGCATGTAAACAAACGGACGGGATGCTGGGGAAATTATTGGCCTTATGTGACTACATGGCCATATTGGTCTATAATATTGACATGGCCATGTGGGATGCTGGTGACATCACTGGCCTTAAATGGCTACCTGGCTATGACCCTATTTGGTCAATGATATTGACCTAATATGGCAATATAAGGTCAATGATGTTACCAGCACCCTGCCCATTTGTTTACATGCAGTTGCAGAGCTGGGAGTGCCCTGGTCACAGCTGATTGGGCATGCACGGATGGCCAATCCGTGAGTTTTTATGAGTTTTGGTTAGCACCAAACGCGAGCTAATCCCTAGTAAGCATATTCACTGTATTGCAAATTAAGTTACTGACAAATCGGGGTTTAACCCAATGCTGACAAAGGACTGGAAGGTCTTATATATAATCAAATATTATATATTGGTATAAAGGTACAGTATATATCATATATCATGGTCTCTGAATAATATATCCACATGTATGTTTTATGAGCTTAATGCCTGCTAGTATTTAATCCAGTATAACATTATGACAGAAATCAATAATTATGGCACAATGTCTGCAGAAATATACTGTATCTTGTTTTACTGCTTAAAAATATCACATATATAGTATCATACTGAAATATATTGTTTATTAAAATAGTTTAGGGGTTGTTAGTTACATGCAGCGCAGCAAGGCACTCGTCATAAAACTAAATGACTGGAAGAAGAGTGACCATTCCATGAAGAATGAAGCTTATTAAGAGAAGGTCCTGTATGCTGTGGTTATTTATCAGACGAAGGCTTGCTCTGGTTTTCATTGTCTGCTGAATGAATCTGTAAGACTTCTGCAGTACCAATATGTTCTGTTCAAAGCAAAAAAAAGAACTTGTTAGTATGGATGTCTTATATTAAGTTTTCTGTAAACTGATAACGTGGATTTTTTTTAGTGAGGTCTAGATTTAAAGCAACCCTTCCCTTTATCATCACCTCCAGCTTACACACTGTTGTTTATTGCAGTACAGCTGGCACCGTAAAGTGCCACATTGTACCTTTACTTTGTCCCGCCCCCCAGGCATCCCACAAGGCACCACTCAGGGTTCCAGTAATCTTTCAATTTGTGTGAGTATTGCAGATGCAGGGGTGCCGATGTCTTTGCAAAAACTGACTTTCAGAAAGTCGGAGTTTGCATACAATCCTCGCTTTATTTAGAGGCACAAGCTGTGGGTAGGGATTTACACATTATTGTGCCTACTGTAGAATTACAACATTCTTGTTTACTAGAATAATGTAGGTTTACTTTGAATCAATTTTTTAAAGCGCCTTCTGCATCTTCACAGATTTGTCATGCTCCACACGGCAGGGTTTCCCTAAATCTAACATGCCTGAAACGTGAACGTTTGTGACTCCCCTGCTATGAATGGAAGGAGAAAAAAAATCTCTTGTGCATAAATTATAGCACTGTCCAATCAGGAAACTGGATAGTACACTGTCTATGACTAGAAAAAAAGTACTGGTCCTCTGCCCACGCAGCTCAGAGGAGACAAGAGCAGGAGTTATCAGTTGCCCAGTGTCCATTCTCCATTTTAGGCCTCCCTTACAGTATGGTTGGTCATGTAGGCTTGGTGATTTTGTTATATCCACAAATGGTAAAGAGCTATTCTTCACCATTTGTGGATATATAAAAATAATTTGTACTATGAAGGTGTTTGGCACTTTTTTGCTTACAATTACACATGGTTTTCTCAAATTGGGTGAATCCCATCTTCTGAGAGACCACTATTTTGTGGAGGGCTGCTGAAACTAAGCCATTACACTTAACTAAAGACATGTTTCTTCTTGATAAAGCATCAGTGCCCAACGTCTTGCCTCTACTTTGTTTTGGATGTGGGTTTGAGCTGACTACCTTGAGTACTAGTCATGGTTATAGCATTGCTTGAACATAGTATATTTCTGTCAGTTCCACCCATCTTATACATAGTGTCAATGACAGTGGAGGGAAGCAAGGACAATGATACATCCCACACTCAGCAGAGGAAGGGACAGTGATAGTAGATCCTAGGCAATGTACATAGACAGCACTGTATTATGCTCTTTCCAGGATGCTTATCAGCAAGTGGATTGACTTTATTAAATGATCAAGTCCAATTAACTAAATTAAAAGATTACCATATGCATTTGTATAATACCATGTTGTCATGTGATAAATTCATACTAAGTTATTTGTGTATTAATACCTGGTTTGTCCTCCTCAGGAATTGGTTCTGGTTTCTGTTTCTGGGACCTACTATGAATAAAAGGGAAAATTAGATTTCCACTAATCAAGAAAACTATAAAACACAGCTATTGATTAAGAGACACTGACATTATGAACTATGCATGTCAAAATTATATCTATATATATTTCTGGACACACGTGTGAATATGATCAGCTGAATGTAAATACTATTATCAGTGTGTGTATGGATGATGATACATATATAATAATCAACATTTTCTTAGGGCCATGGTCACCTTAACAATACTAAGGCCCATGGCACTAGTGATCAAGTTCCTGGCAGCAACTCGAGTAAATACTTACCTACTTCCATGCATTGCTACCTTGCTGTTCAGATAAGCGGGCCTCTGTTCTGTTGCTGAGGGAACTGCTGCATAATGTCACTAACCAGAGACTTCTCTCTTATCTGGTCAGGAGGGAGCAATTTGTGGAAGTGACAAGGAGGGAGCAATTTGTGGAAGTGACAATTCTGTCAATGGCAGGCACATGTACTGAGAGAATATGGCTGCCACTGGTGACCCATTATGAAAATGCTAGTTTTCTATCTGTTTCTGGCTTCAGTAGTTTCTGAGAAACTAACCTGAACAAGCATGCAGAGCATGGAGTTAAAACTGAACTACAGGCAGATATAAAAAGGCACACATTAATCAGCTCTGTAATCATGAATACATCATTAAATGTATTTCTTAATGTAAGCAGTGTAGGTTCCTGAATTTGACTTGGTATCAACTTCTTACAGTCCATTGTACTACAGAGCACAGTGGGGAAACGAAGAAGCAGCACAAAGAGTCACTCAAGTGCAAGGAGCATGCTGATAGAAGAAGCAGCACAAAGAGTCAGTCAAGTGTGCTCCAGTGCAAGGAGCATGCTGTTAGAAGAAGAGAATAGAGTAACAGTCAGATGAGCTCATTAGTCTGCTGCTTCTCCTTTCACTGCCCAGTCACAGGGTGGGATTGGAGAAGAGATCCCTACGTAAAAGTGAAACTGCAGCAGAAAAAAGATCAGGCCCTTCCAGGCAGGACTGTGCTGTATGGAAGAGCTGTATAAACCTCAGGACTGAATTATTTTCTTTGAAATATTCTTTGATATTTCACCTGTGTATTTAGCCTTTTGCCTGTTCCTAAACTTTAAGGGCCGGTGCACACCTATGCGACACCTCACTGCGCGGCAATCATGCACGATTCCGCATGGATTGCCGCACGGTCAGGAGTCGCCGAGGTGTGAACCGATCGTGTTGTGGGTGCCATTATTTTCTAATGGCACCCCAATCGCGCCGGGCAGAACGCGCGGTGTCCAGCCGCGATTCCGCCCATGCTTCCGAACACAATAAAACAGCCGCCTGTCGTGTATTGCAAAAAAAAGGTACTTGTACCCTTTTTCTGCGATTGCTGCACAGATGTCACCCCATTGAAATCAATGGGGACATGCGGCAATCGCTGCCTGCATTGTGTGTGGATCGCGGAGGTCTGCACCGCGCCTCAGTGAGCTCCTATTCTGCAAACATGTTTTATGGCTGTGACTCAAAACAAAATAAAGCTCCCTGGATTGGGAGATCAGTCAGGGAACTAGTATTTCCAGAAAGGAGGTCAACAATGGTAGCCACCAATTTTCTCCAATAGAGGTTTCATTAAATTGTTCATTTTAGAGAAAAATAGAGCAGCATCTCCACAGCAGCATATGGTTCAACAAGAGTATTACTTCAAATATAAGACACAACATGAACCTGTTTAAAGTTCTTTGAATATGTTCATCTCTTGACAGCAGTCCTAAGGCATTCTGGGAATTAAGCCTCTCCCCCATGGCTTGGGATTCCAGATCCACATTGTCAGTTGCTGTCTGGATCATGTTCATGACAAGGTCTTTCTCTGAA